AAAGCCCAAATGTTTGCCACATTGGAGTGGAATTTTGGGTCAATTTTGGGTTTGTTTTTTTTTGTATGTGTGTTTTTGTGTTTCTTTCAGGACATGAATGAACCCGCCAGCTTCGTCCATGGGGCGGTTTGGGGCTGCAGAGATCAAGAGCTCAATAATCCCCCATACATGCCCCGTAAGTCTGCTTAATTATGGCTCATTTAATAAGGAAATGGGCCAATGAACCCCTTTTAAATTAAATCAAGGGGTTGAATTGAACCCCTTCGTTCGCTTTTATGTTTGTTGCTGCATTTCCTATAGGAAAGAATTGCCTTAAATCCCCAAACCCGGAACAACTCCTCGAACAAGAAAAAAAAAAGAGAGAGGAAAAAAAAATAAATCAATTTTTGGAAGATTTTTAGCATGTCGAATTCCAGCCTTTGATTTCAGCAGTGACCTCAGAGCCCTTTGGAAAAAGGAAAACTGTTGATTTCTGCTTCTCCCAACCTTTAGAAATCCAATTTCAGCAGTGATTTCTGCCTTTCCCGTGCAGAAATGCAAATTGTGGATGCACAAAAACGTAAACCCTAAACCTGAATGTAAACCTGAATATATAAAATTAGAAAGGAAAGCCATTAATCTCTGAATTTCCCATATTTCAAAAGCGAGTGTCAACAATTTCTGCCTTCCCTCAGTTTCGGAGATCCGATTTTTAGAGGAATAGCAGCAATTTCTGCCTTTCCGAGCTTCAGAATTTCCATTCTGAAAAAAATGAGCATTTCCTGAATGAAAATTTCCTGAACTTCCTGCATTTCCTCAAGTTTAGAAAGGAATATCAGCACTTTCTGATTTTCTTAAGCTTCAGAAATCCAATTCCAGAATGGAATATCGGCAATTTCCACCTCTCCCAAATTCCAGAAATCCACTTTCAGGAAGGAATGTCGGCAAATTCTCGACTTTCCCAGATTCCAGAAATCCAATTTTACGGGGGAACGTGGGCAATTTCTGCCTCTTCTAGATTTCAAAACCTCCAAAAATCTTATTTGGCTGTAAACCAAGCCGACCACGCATCCATGTAAGAGGAAGTGAACCTCAATGAAGACGGCGCCAACGAAAAGTGATTTTTCCAAGCTTTTATTAAACTGTGCTGTTTTCACCCCATTTCCCACAGAATTGGGGTGGAGGGAGCAGGGCTTGGCCTACAAAACCATCTGCATGGAGGGCGTCCAGATCCTGGCCGACGGCACCGAGCTGCGCCACTACGACGTCCACAACCTCTACGGTTGGGCCCAGACCAAACCCACACTGGAGTAAGTCACCCTTTTTATTTGTTTTCCCCTTTTTCTTCCTTTTTTCCACCTTTTTCTCCCCGAAAACCCTTTTAAACGAGCCCTGAGGATCACTTGCTGCCCCCAGTGCACTGCGGAGCATCACGAAGGAGCGGGGCATCGTCATCACGCGTTCCACCTACCCCAGCAGCGGGCAGTGGGCAGGGCATTGGCTGGGGGACAACACGGCGGCGTGGGACCAGATGACCAAATCCATCATTGGTGAGTCGATGGAACGCCGTGAACCCGCGCTCCCTTCCCCAGAATCAACGCATTTTCACACATAGAATCCCAGTGTTTGAACAACGATGGCCAGTTCCTTCTTGATCTCTTTCCTTGCCGCTGTCATTAAGAAATCCTTCATCATTTCCACTGAGTTGGGTTGAATCCTGTCAACCACGTTGTCCTCAAATCCTATTTTTCCACCATTATTCCACATCATTAAGGAATCCTTCATCATTTCCACTGAGTTGGGTTCAGCCCTGCTGACCACCTTGTCCTCAAATCCTTTCATTCCACCATTATTCCGCATCGCCAAGAAATCCTTCATCATTTCCACTGAGTTGGGTTGAATCCTGTCTACCCCCTTGTCCTCAAATCCTTTCATTCCACCATTATTCCACATCATTAAGGAATTCTGCATCATTTCCACTGAATTGGGTTGAGCTCTGTTGACCCCCTTGTCCTCAAATCCTTTCTTTCCACCATTATTCCACATTGTTCAGAAGTTCTTCTCCATTTCCACTGTGTCAGGTTGAGCCCTGCTGACCACATTGCCCTCAAAGTCTTCATCCCATATAATTCGCAGACAAAAATACCAAATTATGTTTCGTAGCTGAAAACACCCAGTTTTTTTTCACAGCTGAAAATACCCAACCGTATTTCATGGCTGAAAATACCGGATTTCATTTAAGAGTTGAAAATAATAAATTGTACTTCATGGATGGAAACAGAGAACTGTATTTTTAAACAGTTGAAAATGCCAAGCTGTTCTTCATGTTTGAAAGTAGAGAACTGCATTTCACAGTTGAAAATACCAAGCTGTTCTTCTTGGTTGAAAATAGAGAACTGTATTTAAGAGTTGAAAATGCCAACCTGTACTTCATGGTTGAAAATACAGGCCTATATTTAACAGTTGAAAATCCCAAGCTGTACTTCATGGTTGAACATACAGGCTTATATTTAACAGTTGAAAATCCCAAGCTGTACTTCATGGTTGAAAATACAGGCCTATATTTAACAGTTGAAAATGCCAACTTGTATTTCATGGTTGAAAATACAGGCCTATATTTAACAGTTGAAAATGCCAACCTGTATTTCATGGTTGAAAATACAGGCTTATATTTAACAGTTGAAAATGCCAACCTGTATTTCATGGTTGAAAATACCAAACTGTGGTTCACAAATTAAAATACCAAATTATTCTTCTCAGCTGAAAACGCCAAATTCTGTCGCGCAGTTGAAAATACCAAATATTTCACGGCTGAAATGCCTGAATTCTGTTCTCCTTGCAGGTATGATGGAGTTCAGCCTCTTTGGGGTGTCCTACGTAAGTCCCTCGTTCGTCCCTTCCTCCCCCATCCCTCTTGGTCACCTCTCCACAAACGGCAGCGCGCGGTGCGGCCTGGTTGGGATTTTGGAGCTGTCCTTAAAGCATCCTTTGGGATTTTCAGACCGGAGCCGACATCTGCGGGTTCTTCTCAGATTCGGAATACGAGCTGTGCGCCCGCTGGATGCAGCTGGGAGCTTTCTACCCATTTTCAAGGAACCACAACGGGAAAGGCGCCAAGGTGACCGTGCCCAAAAATCGCCCACCTCCCATGGCTCCATTCCTCCCCTCCTCCCCTGTAAAATCCTCCTTTTTAGCTCCGCCCACAAAACCCGAATTGGGCAGCAATTCAGGAACCTCTCATTTTCTATTGTATTTTATGTTATTTTATTTTATTTTATTTTACTTTATTTTATTTTCCTTTATTTTATTTTATTTTATTTTATTTTATTTTATTTTATTTCATTTCATTTCATTTCATTTTCCTTTATTTTATTTTACTTTATTTTA